TGAATCAATTCATTGTACTGTTAAGTAATTACTACCATGTAGTAAGAGGAATTTTTGACATGTCACTTGCTAACTAGTTTACATAATACCCAAACATTCCACTTGCCTAGGACGTAACACTGGTATATTTTAATAGTTTTCAACTAAAGTATCTTGAGAGAAAACCATGTTTAGATTTATTTGTTGCATACAATAGGGGATAATTAATGAGTTTAAACATATTCAACGGCTACATGAAATCTCATGTTAACTTAAAAAGAATTAAATAAATACATGATCATTATTGAATTGATAAAGATATGACATGAAGTTAGGTTATCAATATCTATTGGTTCACATACATTGGGCTACAAATCTTGAACTTTTGTTTACTTTCTTTTATAATTATTCTCAACCTATGTGCGTATTTTCCAATTTTCATACTTGTACGCGTTCACTATTGCTATCTATTTCTGTACGTCGTATTAAGAAGTATAGGAACTGAAAGTATTATATTTTAGTAAGTTATTTTACCCCTGACTATTTGTCTATCTTTATATCTCCAATCTCCTAAATTCATTCTCTATTGCTCAGATCATATAGAATACTGAATTTCATCAGTTACTTAGTTATGTATAATTTTATATGATTCATTCGTACTTATTAATAGTTCAACCAATGTTATACTATTTTTATCATTAATATTCAGGTATCCAGAGATTCGAACATATAATTATTATCTATTAAGATAATCATATTTATTCATAGATTTATTTATTAAACCATTATATTTCAAAATTTTGTTATACATGACTGAATCAACTGGCTTTTGTTGTGACATCTATGGGTATCTGTATTCAGTAACTTTATGGATAATACATTGGTTTTTTGAAAGGTATGAGTTTCAATATGAACATCAACAATGGAATGTCAAAAGATTATTTAATGGTTATAATATTATTTTCAAGGTTGTGTATAGTAAGTGCATCTTGGATCGTATTATTAAGTACGATTCGAGAAATATGCTAAAACTTATAATCACACATCCGTATCAAGAAATCAGTTTGGAGTACGCATACATTGAAAGAGACTGACCTAAATCGGTTTTAAAGTAGTATAAACTTGAAAAATGTTTTGAATAAACTAATCAAATTAAAATATAATGTGAAGTTTTTTATTGACTGATTGCAGTAAAAAAGTTATTCAGGACTTATTACTTGTCAGTCTTGAGTACTGTTAGAAGCATGAAGGCGGTTATCACTTCCCGGTTGCCTAAATCGTGAAAGAATTTTTCTAGAGGTGCCTGAAAAAGGAAATTGGGTTATGGGTAGTCTTAGTGACTTGAGAGCGTGACCGCAGTGCCTAAGGCACAAGTGTTAGAGGTCAGTCATACACGACCTCTTTGTGAGTAACTTTCGAGTTAGATCCGTACTTGTCAGGACCTTACCGCTGGAGATGGAAATCCGTGGGATAAGGCGAGGTGTGCATTCTCAGGGTCGATCTTTTCTAACCACGCCCTTCCTTGTGGGTGAGCAGCATCGCTGTTATGCTGGTTGTTTGAAGGAAACACCTTACTACCGTCATAGCTTTCTACAGTCAACAGTACTACTTTGCTCTCGGACCTTAGGTTTGCTGCTTTTAATCTTACTGCTCTTCAATCGACCTGTTTGGCATGGTAAAACCTTGAGGAGCTTTATTGGTTCATCACGATAGGCAATGGTCAGGCGCTTATTACTTGTTATTATTGTCATCTACTATATATGTAGGACAGTAGAAAACACAAATATTAAATGAAATAAAACTAAATGATGAAATCATACACAACCGATAGTAAATTTTGTTTATCGATTGATTTTAAAATGATCAATCAGAAGCAGACACTATTTAACCTATACCAACACATTAATTTCGTAAACATAAACAAAGAATATATTGTTGAAATCATGAAAGAACATGACTGGTTATTCATGAAACTGAAGTTTGTTTTTTACAACTTATTGACAGATTACGTAATCAGTTAAAGAATGATTCAAATATTAAATCATTAACGGAAACAATTAGTGTTACCGGCTCTAACCAATATAAATTCATAGTTTATTCACAGATTGTACTTATTCATTAAAAATTTCTGAGAAAATATTGTCTGTCGTTCTACAGCCACATAAATGATTTTTCAACATAAAATGTCATCAGTAATTTTATCCTTTAAAAGATATAACGTATGAAATTCAAAATAATATTTGGAATTACCATTTATCAGAATGGGGATTTATAAAAAATTGTAGTAATTTTAACAGTTAAATTGATGAGTCACTGGATAAGGGATTGCGCAAGATCATGAATAGAGTGAAGTTAGACATTAACGCTGATGGATGCCGGTTCAATGGTCTACAAGTTAAGCGTTCACGTGAGAAGCAAAAGGTCATGGGCCCGAGTTCAGCGTTTGAGATCATGGATATACACTACTGAGAAGTCCCATAATAGGATGAAATGGCCGTCCAGTGCTTTCAAGTTTTCAATGGACGTTTAGCTTAAATTAATTCATGAGTCCAACTGTTAAAATTTCCATTTAGTTAGAATGATCTGACCTTTTATCATTGTAGATTTGATATCAGTTAGATATCCACTTTTCTTAAATATTATTTTACTGTCATACAAAGAAGTATTTCTTGACTATAAATCAAATATTTCAGCCTATTACATACCAATTGATGTTATTTAGAAAATAAGAAATTAGCATAGTCAAAAGATTATATGTTTTTGATTTAACTAATCGAGAAGTTAAACAGAATGGAAAAAATAAAATAATTTTGTAAGTTTTCTGGAACTTATTATTTTATTTATTTATTTATCTGAACACATGAACATAAGTACAAAGGGGCACCGAATACATATGCATCACACAAGTCACTTGATTTATTTGTGAGCTGTGATAATGCCCGGAAGCCCAAACCGAGCCAGGTGGTTTCCTTAGGGGCCACGCCCTAATCCTTCGACTTAAAAGTCTTATCCACAGAGCAGTGAAATAACGTGAGAAGATGCACTCCCATGGTAGCCAGTGACCAATAATTGGTCCACACGCCATTTGTTCCTTCAAGATCCTGGAACTCATGTGCACCATTGGTTTGGAATCAGGGTTTTCCAACTCCCCTAGGTGGAACCTCCATATCCACCAACCCGGTTAAAGCGCCGGATATTCGCTTTTCATCCTCTTAACTTCGTAAACAACAACAATGCCGTGAGAAGGAAGTGAATAGAACTTCCTTGGTAGTGGCTGTATACGCCTAGCCGTGTGAGATCATTGAAAGAGGGGAAGCTAACTTTCCCCACCCTCGGGCGTACCACCGCATTTAAGGGATACACATGATCTTACCTCTCTGAGTTATGAATATTCGGAGTTAACGAGATAAATTTCAATGACATTAGCCTCTTCAACTGTATGCTTTTATAATGATATAGTCACAATTCTCGTTATGAATATTTTACTGCTATAAACTTAGAAGATATGTCATTAAAACATTTTTACAATTGAATAAAAGCTTATGAAATGTAACTTATTTATTACGTTCATTGTTTAATTAATATCTAAACATTAATTTTGGATCATAATCTTTAGTGATGTGACCATTAACTTTGTAGATGATTATCAGTTTTAAAATTAAGCCCATATTATATTTATTGATTTTAAAAGATCTAGGTATTACCGATATTAAACTGCTTTTTACATCAGAACTTCTCAACATTTTAACATATTTTTCAGGAAAAAAACATGTTCATAGACAAATAGCAACATTGAAGTATATTGTAGTGTCAGTTATTATGCCAAGCCCATATACCTTATTCTAACTTTCGGACATCCCACTCTATTCATTCTACTTGAGACATACTTTGACCTTGTTATTTATTCGCTTATATGAGCGTATATGTGTGTGCCCTTCTTATTCCATTAATCACATGTCTGTAGCTTTATTTTGTCTGACTATAAATATTGAGTAACGCTTGACTAAAATGGAGTTGGCTTCCCAGCCATCTTCCCTGCGTGTCGTTTTGCTTTGCTCTGTTTCATTCGCTTCATATACAAAGTATATGTATTCACAAATCAATTCTCGTTATTCGACTGATTTAATTCCGTTATTGGCTAACGCGATTAAGTCGACGATTATATACGAGAATAGGAGATAACAAACATTTGTACGATCTTGGAGTCAGATCCACGGGCCACTAAAATGGTGAGCCCTCCAACGAACATCGTCCGATCTAAACGACGACAAAACAACGAGCCACCAAAATATCAATATAGATTAAAACATTCTACGGTTAAATGATTTTCACAACGACTTAGGATCAAACTATTTTTTTCTTATATAGTGTTATTTTTTTTGCTGTTGTTTCAATTTAATTTGCGTTCAATAATGAAGTTGTTGTCTGAGGTTGCCGATAGATTTCACAGTTGGGTTCCACCAACAAAAATGACCAAATCTTATTCGTTCTTTGATCAATTTATCGTAACGTGTATACTTTAAATAGCACTGTAAAGAGCCTTCTTGTTTGTTTCACTTTACACAGATCTAAGCATTATTTTCTGACAGCCTAATTTTGGAAATGTAAGAGCACAAATAGAATCAGAATGACATGATATAAGCTTCCTACAACTCACAATATTACAAGGCCAAATTACTTACTTGAATACTTAAGCCTTTTGCTCCTCGGGAAGGAACACAAGCCGCCCGCCAGAATTCTCCATGGAACTCTGTCCTGAGCAGCAAGGCCAAATCGGCAAGTAAATTTCCAGTTTATTTTAAAGGTAGTTTATGCCGTAAATAAACTTGAAATGGAAGACCATTGAGAACCAGAGAACATGGGTCTACTAGACTGAACCCAGTACCTTTTGATTTCACATCGAGCGAGGACACTGCATACAATTTATCATGACCTTGTAAAATTAAATGCATTATTTTTGTTCCTCTTAAGCAGTTATTCTTAATATCACAGAGTTTTTTTTTAATTTTATTCTTTTCAAGACTACAACAGTAAAAAAGTGATGAACTCACATAACTGGTCTAGTTTTGACCAAACATTTACGTTTACTGAACATTCAAAAAATTCCTCATTCAATGTTACAAATGATAACTTAAACCCAATAACTTTTTTTCAAAACAACCATGAAATTCATACAGATTCATTTCATTCAAACTCAGCAAACTTTATGCATGAAGAATCGAAGCAACAGGATAATTCATTTATTTCAACTAAGAATGTTCAACGTTCTTATGTAACGAAAAAACACCAGAAATGCACTACATCTGACAATGTTAGTTCTCAATGTTTTATTGAACCCTCATTAGTTGTCCCAACTGGTATAAGACGTCGTGGTCCTAAAAAGAAGCCAGATTCACAAGAACGTGTTGTCAGAATGAAAATGAGACGAGCTAGAGCTAATGCACGTGAACGTAGCCGAATGCATGGATTAAATTCAGCATTAGATGCCTTAAGACAACATATACCATCTGCTTTAATCGGTGGATATATTTCCTTTGATCTTGATAAAAAAGATGACACAACTATTTGTACTACTTATACCAATCAAAAACAAAATGAAAATAATAAATTATTCTCGAAAAATTATCAAACCAACAATTCAATAAATCAAATAAACAACAATAATAATGTGAATAATTTTCATCAATTTGGTCAAAAATTAAGTAAAATTGAAACGCTTCGTTTAGCTTGTAATTACATTGGTCTTTTAGCTTCAATATTAAATGATATACACTTTGAATCAATAACCGATATTATAAAATATTTATGTCATGGTTTGTCACAAATAACAACCAATCAGATTGCAGCTGCTTTACAAAGTGATCCTTCTAGATTAATGAAGCATCATGTATCTGATAATAATGAAAATAAATTATTATATGATAATTCTTCCAAATTATCATCATCCACTTCATCATCACCAATTGATGATGATAATGATGATGTTAATTATACAAAAAAAATTCAACAAAATGTTATAAGGTCAAATTTATTGACTGATGAACAATTAATGAACCATTTAGATTATTATTATTATTATTCAAATAATGTTTCATTGACCATACCAACTAATCAGTCTACATCAATTTCAAATGTTGATCAATCTCTAGAAGATTGTTCATCAAATTGTATAGAATTATTAAAATCACAAAATGATTTATTCAATAATAAATTGTATGAATATGAAAATGTTGTATATGATTGTGAACAATATGAAATGAATGAATATAATTTAACAATTCCTTATTTACCTATTAATTATAATGAAAATATTGATAATAATCAGTTAAATGAATCAATGAATCATGAACATTGGATAAACAAAACAAAATTACAATTATTTAATAATGAAGAAATAAATGTTATTACTCCATTAGAAATTAATAATTCAATTCATATTTCAATGGATTCAAAGGAACCAATTTTAAATTCAAATCCTGATCTAAAATCTTATTCATATCATTGCCATTATCATCATTTAAATGATCATTATTATGATTCATATTGAGTAATGAATATTACTACTTGTTATTACGATCAGTAATTATGAAAAAAAAGTTTTTTTCATTATTATAAAGTAATATCGAATTTGATAAATATTAGTGATATTACTAATAATAGTTGAACTCATCATAAATAACATAATATAATCCATAATGATAATCAATACATTTCAATTATATAATGTCACACCATCAATTTGTACTTTTCACATTTTACTTATTATGTAATCTTTTCCATTGTTATCATTGACTTATAAACTACCTTGATTGGTTTAATAATTTCGTATATGGATATAAATATTACTGTATATTAGAGTAAAGCCTGATGAGGATCTAATCGAAAACAATATTGTTCGCTTATATATGTTGTTCTAAATTATATAATGATTAATTTAAACAAATCATTTCATTCCTTCAATTGAAAAACATCAATATTAATATGAATGATTGTTTTCATTATTTGTATTTGTTTCTTTTAATTTTATCATTGAGTTATTACCTTGTATCATTAATTATAATTATGATTAATAATGAAGTAATCAGTTATTATGACATATTTACTTTTACTTACTTACGCCTGTTACTCCCAATGGAGTATAAGCCGCCAACCAACATTCACCAACCTACTCTGTTTTGAGCCTTCTTTTCTAGTTCCATCCAATTCTTGTTCATTTTTCTCATGTCCATTTCAATTTTCCGGCGTAATGTGTTCTTTGCCTGGAGTCCCTCCAGGGGCTACTGCCGATCCCAAGCTCGGATAAAGGAGGAGGGTTGGGCATGGGGTTAGCGACCCCATCCCGTAGAAAACTAACTCGCTAAAAAAACGCTAACCAGAAAAAAATTATTATGACATGATATTTACTTATATCATGTTCTTAAATATTAATAGACAAAGTTTCCACTGACTGACTGGAACATAAACAAAATAAACCAGTTTACTTAGTTTAGAGTTATAATATGAAATTCTACCAATCATTTTCATAATATTTCATAATTGAAGTTAACCAAATAATGGAATGACTTTCGAATGGCAAATTTACAATAGTTTCAATACTCGGTAATGCAATGAGAAGACGAAGTTTATCGTCATGTCATTGTATTATCGAAATCTATCAAAGGGACTAATTGTTTTAAGTTTTAGTACTACTAATATTTAAAGATTCATTAGGTTGATTCTTATTTAGTTGAATAGTGAAGTGAATTATTCATTGGAAAGAAAAAGTTGTGATAACTTTCATCTGTTGAAAAATAGGTCTCATTACGAGTATGTTAGAAATATTCATCTAAACTTGAGTTTACTTGTTGATAAAAGGATGATTTACTCTATTCAGGATATTGTAATCTGAATAAATAGATGAAAAACTGTTTGTATATTATTAATTTTGTATTTTTCGAACGGTTGAGTTATTCTTAAATCTTCAGCTCAATTATAAGAGTTTATAAACTACAACATTTTTGCATATGAGATCATTGTTGGGGAGACCTAGAAAATTCCTTGAAAAAAAGCCCTTATAGGCCCCGAAAACGCTGAAAAACATTTTAAACAATCAGCATTGAATAGAAGTTTCTCAGAAACATCTAGGAAGTGTAAAGTCACATGTTATATTTCTGAATGGATGATTGCCCGTCCTGCTACTATGTTTGGTAGGGTTACTGAAGTTTCTGTAAGCCCAAGATTACCTGAAATGTTACAAATAACCTCAATTTTCTGTACATAAACTAACCTTGGAGTAAAGCGTTCTTTCCATACTACGTGCATTTTCTCTCATGTTCACGTTGTCTTGTAGAGTCAGCCTGGGGTTACTACAAGAGCTTAGGAAACCGAGTCAGAAGATTTATCAATCACAACCTGTAGTATTGAACAAGTGATATCTAACATGAAACTTGTTAATACGAAGCTGGATAACTGAATAGTTAATAGGTCGTGTGTTTTGTGCGAATGCTGATTTTATAAGTCCTAAATAATTTCCAAACTTCCCAATCAGCGTTTAACGTTTTATAAATATTTGTAAAAGGTAGGTTTGAATGGACTGTAATAAATGTACTACAACTTTATTCTTTTGGTAATCAGTATTTCGTAATTCCGGACAAATTTAAAACTGCTTCTTAAATTTTACCATCTTCACGAAAGACTTCTTCAGGGAGGTGATAGATTGAGTTACATAGTATTAAAGGTATAACATTTTCCTTTTAAAGAACTAATATTCAAATCAATGTGATCATTGTTTACTTTCTCCACTTTTTGTAGAAAACAATATAAATTACATGGTGGCCTAACTTCAATTGACTCATGATCTCAACTATTGAAATCACTACAAACTCCACAAAACCCCTTCTGATACTAAACAACAATATACTCAGTAGTGACTGGCTTCAAGAGGTATATCCTGGAGTTCTGATGGGAAGTAGTGACCAGTGGAGTTTAACCAGGTCTGCTGTGAGATAGTAACTCATTGATAACAATGGTGGATATATCGTTCAATTTCGTGGATTAGTTAAAGTTAGACATTAACACCGTTGAATACCGGTCCAGTGGTGTAGTGGTCAGGCGCTCGCGCGCGAGACTGACAGGTCCTGGGGTCGAATATCACGAGGCGAGATCGTAGATGCGCACTGCTGAAAAGTCCCACAATAGGACGAAATGGTCGTCCTGTACTTCAAGGTTTTCCATGGTAATCTAGCTTCAATTGACTCATGATCGCAACTGTTGAAATTACTACGATCTCCACAAAACCTCTTCTGATAATAATATCAATTAATGTCATAGATCTACGAATGTGCAGCTTTCCGAAAAACAAGGCTGTTGAAAAAAATTTAATTCTCATGTATCATTACTAATCTGTTAAAAAACCTTTTTTGTTATTAACCCCTCTGATATGTTCCCTCAATAGAACTCGAAAAATGATTTCACTGATTTGTTTGAGTTCCAGAGAAACCAAAGATTGACTTAAAGTGAACAGTACTTACCAGAGAGTAGAACAAATGGACAATAAATCTATGAACTAGTGTATCAAATGAAATTTCACTTTTAAAAAATATCCATCAACAAACAATACGCAAAAAGAGAAAACGTTTAGAGAAATTGTTTTATAAATGCCGTTCATTTAATCGGTTAATAGTAATTGATATATGTATATATATAAATTAAAGATACTCACAGATACCTGACAATGATTACAATGATTTGAATTGCTACACTACTTAGTTCAATAATAACAGCAACGAGTTGTGTAATGTATAGAATTTTATTAACAATAGGATTTGCAATATTGGCTTGATGTTAATTTGTGTAGAGAACACACCATGATAACGAGCGTACCGTTTCTAAAAAAATGGGCAGATAACAATTCCAAATTAGCTATCCAAAAGAGAGTGAAATTAGCTAATAAGAGAAATTGTTTTTTTAATAACTATGAGTTGACGGAATTTTAATGTTTTGATGTTATTATTTTTCTAATTTCAACTAACCAACTAACTCATCACCACTTGGTGGTATCGCTGTGTGGTTATTGACTGTAATACATATAGATTGTTGTAGACTTACTTTACTTAAGCCCGTTACTCCTCGTGAAGGAGCATAGGCCGGTCACCAGTATTCTCTATCCAACCCTGTCCTGGGCAATCCTTTCCAGCTCTTTCTAGCAGTTATTCATCCTTTTCATAGAGCTAAAAATAAATGCCTTATTACAAAAAATAATTCGTTTAGTCTACTTATTTCTTAGTGAAAATGCTTAGTTTTTTTTCATGTTTGCATCACAAACTAATCCTAATTAGTCAGATAGCCATTAAAAACCAGAAAGCGTTGGACAACTGTCATCTTAATATGGGGGACCTTAGCGATGCGCATCCATGACCACATCTGGTATCCAACCCATAAACTTCGGTCTTAAGGTGGACCTTTAACGTTTGGACTAATAAGTTGAAATGAAGTAATTTACTTTTTTTAAAACTTTAAAAGATTCGCCATAATTCGTAGACAACTTACGGTGCCGTTATTGTGTAACTGCCTGAGTTCAATCAAGTCGGGCTCACATCTGACTTGGTTGAACTCCACTGGGTATGGATTAGCACTAGAATTCCAGGAATGGCCTCTAGAAACTAGCTGCTAGTGAGCATATATTGGCTACCTACCTTAATTTGTTTCGTGATGTAAACTATAAAATTCAGGTGTCCACAAACTTCTTATACTAATGAAAATATTTGCTTGATATGGTAAAATGAGTCTGTTTATATAGTTGACAGAAAATACAAGGTGAAGTATGACTAAATCTTTAAATTACTATAGTTAACTTAAATTTATTTGGTCCTGCTTTCAAAAACGGATATGGGGGGAGGGGATGATTAAAGGAGTAAATCCATATCATAAACTTATATTCTAATCTCGTAACATAACAATCAACTAATATTCTACTTTTTTTTCTTGATAAATCCATTTAATGAGGGTAATCAATTTGTCGTTTTGATTTGTTCATGTTTAACCTACTTAACATATTATGTAATCACTCCTGTTATTACTTATGATAATAAAATTAAAATATGATGGTTGGTACAGAATTATTCAATTTTATGTTTTGATCAATGGGAATATATGAAGTTCCAAGATAGTAAAAACTTTGTATCAGATCGACAGTATGATAAAATAAGTTTTTTTTATCATTAGATTACAGTTATGAAAGTAATAACAGTTGATTATTTATCATAATACTGATAACTATCGTTCAAGGTTAAAATTTATAATAAAATATTCAATGCTAAAGAACTACTGAAAATCAGTAGATATTAAACACTTGACTGTTTAATTCTAGCTTGTGATTGACCACTTACGACGATACAATATTGAACTTGTTGACATGATTAATAACAATGTAAAGGATATTGAAAGCGAGTAGAGTTCAACGGTGAGATTTGAATCAGGGACTAGATTGAGCTATACCAGTGAGAATTTCAATCGATATGTGACAAACAATGTCAGTTTTTTAGTAGGTCTTTATCAACAATATGAACGTAAAAAGGTTTGCGATTACGAAACTATGCCCCGTAATGAAAGCTTCATTAGTAATTGAACCAAAACGATTTGACTCCGAATAGAAATTGACGGTTTAAATATCCACCTTAAAAGTAATCGGAACAAAGATTTTATTTACAAAAAGTGACAAATTCATTTTAATTGTTCTTGAGTTTCATTCAGGTGCCACTATCCATAACATTTCAAAATCCCTTAGCAATTGGGCTTTGCTACATATGAAATAATTAAGATAAAAAGAAGTACCTGATTTAATGTGACAAGAATGAAAAATAGAGAAGTTTAAGAAGCAAGTCAAAAGATTACAATTATATGTCTAACTATCCTATGAATTCAAGAAAATCAGCAGGATTAATAATGGATTATTATGAAAACTGTGACAAAGCATTATATAAGTTACTGCATATGCAATCGTTTGGATTAACCTGATATTGATAAATTGACTGAAATTCGATCAGTCTTGGTCGGCATATGCGCATTATGTACTGATAGCCACGAAGATACAGGTTTATATAGAATATATGTAAT